TGCCGAAGCTGGTCGTAACCCGAAATGTTCGTTAGTAGAGGCGTTCGTATCCCGAGGTACCACTGTATTCCAAAGGGCGGGGGCAACGGCAGAGAAGGCTCTCTTCCTGGGCCCTGCCAGCCGGCATTCTCTCACCGACGGGGTCCGCAACATGCCTTTTCTGCCTGACCAGGTGGGACGGGTCAATGTAATGGGGGTGAGATGGTCCCTCAGGTAGGGTGGACCCATGCCATGGAGGGCTTTAAAGGTGATAATCAACACCTTGAACTGGACCCAGAAGCAAACTGGCACCCAGTGCAGCTCCCCCAGTAAAGGTGTTATATGTACCATCCTTGGGGCCCCCAAGATTGTCTGTGCGGGAACCAGCTATAGCTTCTGGATACTCTCCAAGGGTAACCTTATGCAGAGCACATTGAAATAATCTAACCAAGAGATAATCAAGGCGTAAGTGACACACCACCACATGGGCAAAGACTCTCCTGGCCACAACTGCTACTTGCTCCTCGATCAGGAGTCGTGAGTCCAGGAGGACCCCCAGATTATGCACTGGGTCTGTCTGGGGCGGTGCAACCCCATTCAAAACCAAAGATGGTAAATTCTTGGATACAGAGAGGCCTCCAATCCACAGCCACTCTGTCTTACCAGGGTTGGTTGAAGCCTGTTGCACCCCATCCAGACCTCCACAGCCTTCAGGCACCGCAAAAGGGTGGGCACAGCATCACTCAAGTCACCCAGGATGGAGATGTTTAACTGAGTATCATCTGCATATTGATGATGCCTCATCCCATGGTGGTGGATGATCTCGCCCAGTAGTTTCATGTAGATGTTAAAAAGGTGCGGAGAGGATACCGAACCCTGCAGCACCCCACAATGGAGGGGCCGTGGGCTGGACCTCTCACTCCCAATCAACAATGATTAGGATCGACCTTGGAGGAAGGAAGAGAACCAGCACAAAACTGTGCGGCCCACTCCCAACTTCCAAGTTGACCCAAAGGGATACCATGGTTGCTGGTATCGAAAGCCACTGAGAGATCAAGAAGAGCAAGAATGGATGCACTACCCCCATCCCGCTCCCACCAGAGATCATCCATGAGTGCGACCAATGCTG